GTTAAATTTTTGGATTTTTGATTTTTTCACTGTCGGTTTTATGCTATTTTGATTTCTTGATTTTTCGGTTTTTCGATTTTTCAATTTTTCGCTTTCTCGATCTTTTGATGTTTCAATTTTACGATTTCTAGGTTTTTCGATTTTTCGACTTATCATTTTTTTTATGTTTCGACATTTCCTGTGTCCAATTTCCTAATCATTCATCAATTTTTCGGTTTTTCGATTCTTCAATTTTTTGATTTTACAATTTTTCGATTTTTAAAATGTTCACATTTTTCGATGTTTAGCTATTTTTAAGTTTGTAATACTTCACTTTAACAATTTCCTGACATTTCGGTTTTTTGATTTTGAAAATACTTGGATTTTCAAGGTCTTCAAATTTTCAATTTTGGAAATTTTTCTTTCAATTTTTCGATATTTTAATTTTTGGATTTCTAAATTTCAGGTATTTCAACTTTTTTGATGTTTCGATTCCTGGATATTTCGTTTTTTCGATTCTTCAATTTCTCGATTTTTTATATTTCGGTTTCTCAGTTTTCCTATATTTCCTTTTTACGATTTTTCAGTTGTTCGATGTTTTAATTTTTGCCGTTTGTACATTTTTGAATTCTCTATTAATCGATTTTTCGACTTTGCGATTTTTACATTTTTTGATTTTTCCGTTTCTCGATTTCTCGATTTTTCAGGTTTTCGATTCTTTAATTTGTCGACATTTTAGATTTTGTAAATCTTTGATGTTTCGATATTTTTAATTTATGAATTTTTCAATTTTTAGATTTTCCGATTGTTCAATTTCGCAATTTTTCGATTTTTCAGGTTTTTTAATTTTTCGATTTTTGGGTTTTTCGATTTATCGATCTTCCAGTTTTTCTATGTTTCAACTTTTCAATTGTCCGATTTCCAAATTTTCGGAGAATTCTGTTTTGGGATTTTTCAATTCGATTTTTCAGTTTTCGAATACAAATTTTTGGTGGTTCTAAATTTTCGAATTTTCGATTGATTTTTGGACTTTTCGGTTTTTTAGACTTCGATGTTTCGAATGCTCGATGCCTCGATTTCTCGATTTTTATGTTTTTCAATTCCTGAATTTTTGGATTTTTCAGATTTTGGATCCTTCAATGTTTCGATTTTTCAATTCTTATTTTTTTTTATTCATTTATTTATCGATTTTTGTTTTTTTTTTGTGGAAATTTTCCAGGTTTTTAATTGTTAATTTTTCGATTTGTTGGTTTTATGCTATTTCGATTTCTTTCAATTTCTCGATTTCTCGATTTTTCAATTTTCCAATTCATGAATTTTTCGATTTTTTAGGTTTTCGATTTTTCAATTTTTCGATTCTTCAATTTGGCAACATTTTAGATTTTATAATTTTTTGATGATTCGGTCGTTAAATTTTCGGATTTTTTAATTTTGAATTTTTCAATTTTTTGATTTTTGGATTTATCGAGATTTCGATTTTTCGATTGTTCAATTTCGCGATTTTTCGGTTTTCAATTTTCTTGATTTTTCGATTTTTAAGTGTAATTTTTTTATTTTTCAATTTTTAATTTTTCAATTTGTCGATTTTATGCTATTTCGATTTCTTGATTTTTCGGTTTTTCGATTTTTCAATTTTTCGCTTTCTCGATCTTTTGATGTTTCAATTTTACGATTTCTAGGTTTTTCGACTTATCGATCTTCCAATTTTTTTATGTTTCGACATTTCATGTGTCCAATTTCCTAATTTTTCGAGAATTCATCATTCATCATTTTTTGATTTTACCATTTTTCGATTTTTAAAATGTTCACATTTTTCGATGTTTAGCTATTTTTAAATTTGTAATACTTCATTTTAACAATTTCCTGACATTTCGGTTTTTTGATTTTGAAAATATTTGTATTTTCAAGGTTTTCAAGTTTTCAATTTTGAAAATTTTTCTTCAATTTCTCGATTTTTTATTTTTCGGTTTCTCAGTTTTCGCATATTTCCTTTTTACGATTTTTCAGTTGTTCGATGTTTTAATTTTTGCCGTTTATACATTTTTGAATTCTCTATTAATCGATTTTTCGACTTTGCGACTTTTACATTTTTTGATTTTTCCGTTTCTCGATTTCTCGATTTTTCAGTTTTTCAATTCTTGAATTTTTCGATTTTTCAGGTTTTCGATTGTTCAATTTGTCGACATTTTAGATTTTGTAATTCTTTGATGTTTCGGTCTTCAAATTTTTCGACATTTTTAATTTGTGAATTTTTCAATTTTTAGATTTTCCGATTGTTCAATTTCGCGATTTTTCGATTTTTCAGGTTTTTTGATATTTCGATTTTTTTTTATTGTAAATTTTTTACTTTTCAATTTTTAATTTTTCGATTTCTCGATCTTTTAATGTTTCGATTTTACGATTTCTAGGTTTTTCGATTTTTCGACTTTTGGGTTTTTCGATTTATCGATCTTCCAATTTTTCTATGTTTCAACTTTTCAATTGTCCGATTTCCAAATTTTCGGAGAATTCTGTTTTGGGATTTTTCAATTCGATTTTTCAGTTTTCGAATACAAATTTTTGGTGGTTCTAAATTTTCGAATTTTCGATTGATTTTTGGACTTTTCGGATTTTTAGACTTCGATGTTTCGAATGCTCGATGTCTCGATTTCTCGATTTTGATGTTTTTCAATTCCTGAATTTTTCGGTTTTTCAGGTTTTTGATCTTTCAATTTTTCGATTCTTCAATTTGACTTCAATTTGACAGGATTTTTTTTTTCCTCTACTCTGTAATTTCTCTGTTAAAATAAAATTTAGTTATATTTTAGATTTTGTAATTTTGTGATGTTCCGGTCTTTAGATTTTTCGATTTTTTAATTTTTGGATTCTTTGATTTTTCTGTTTCTCGATTTTTCAAGTTTTTGATTTCCCAATTTTTCAAGATTTCAATTTTGGGAGGTTTTTTTGAATTTCTGAATTTTTGAATTTTTCGATTGCTAATATTTCGGTTTTTCGATTCTTCAATTTTTCAATATTTCCGTTCTGCGGTTTTTCAGTTTTGCGATATTTTCATTTTTAGTGTTTTTAAATTTTCGAATTCTCGACTAATCGATTAGAATTTTTGATGTTTCCATTTCTCGATTTTTCAATTTTCCAATTCATGAATTTTTCGATTTTTTAGGTTTTCGATTTTTCAGTTTTTCGATTCTTCAATTTGGCAACATTTTAGATTTTGTAATTTTTTGATGATTCGGTCGTTAAATTTTTGGATTTTTTAATTTTGAATTTTTCAATTTTTCGATTTCTGGATTTATCGAGATTTCGATTTTTCGATTATTCAATTTCGCGATTTTTCGGTTTTCAATTTTCTTGATTTTTCGATTTTTTTAAGTGTAAATTTTTTATTTTTCAATTTTTAATTTTTGAGTTTGTCGATTTTATGCTGTTTCGATTTCTTGATTTTTCAGTTTTTCGATTTTTCAATTTTTCGCTTTCTCGATCTTTTGATGTTTCAAATTTACGATTTCTAGGTTTTTCGATTTTTCGACTTATCGATCTTCCAATTTTTTTATGTTTCGACGTTTCATGTGTCTAATTTCCTAATTTTTCGAGAATTCATCATTCATCAATTTTTCGGTTTTTCGATTCTTCAATTTTTTTGATTTTACAGTTTTTCGATTTTTAAAATGTTCACATTTTTCGATGTTTAGCTATTTTTAAATTTGTAATACTTCACTTTAACAATTTCCTGACATTTCGGTTTTTTGATTTTGAAAATACTTGTATTTTCAAGATTTTCAAGTTTTCAATTTTGGATTTATGAATTTTTCAATTTTTAGATTTTCCGATTGTTCAGTTTCGCGATTTTTCGATTTTTCAGGTTTTTTGATTTTTTGATTTTTTTTTATTGTAAATTTTTTACTTTTCAATTTTTAATTTTTCGATTTCTCGATCTTTTAATGTTTCGATTTTACGATTTCTAGGTTTTTCGATTTTTCGACTTTTGGGTTTTTCGATTTATCGATCTTCCAAATTTTCTATGTTTCAACTTTTCAATTGTTCGATTCTGTTTTGGGATTTTTTAATTCGATTTTTCAGTTTTCGAATACAAATTTTTGGTGGTTCTAAATTTTCCAATTTTCGATTGATTTTTGGACTTTTCGGATTTTTAGACTTCGATGTTTCGAATCCTCGATGTCTCGATTTCTCGATTTTTATGTTTTTAATTCCTGAATTTTTGGATTTTTCAGATTTTGGATCCTTCAATTTTTCGATTTTTTAATTCTTATTTTTTTTTATTTATTTATTTATAATTTTTTGTTTTTTTTTTAGTGGAAATTTTCTAGGTTTTTAATTGTTAATTTTTCGATTTGTCGGTTTTATGCTATTTCGATTTCTTGATTTTTCGGCCTTTCAGTTTCTGGATTTCTCGATCTTTCGATGTTTTGATTTTCCGATTTCTAGGTTTTCCTCATTTTTCGACTTTTCGTTTTTTTCGATTTAGCGATCTTCCAATTTTTCGAGAATTCAGTTTTGGAATTTTTCAATTGTTATTTAACAATATATTCCTATACTTGTGATGTATGAATCCGCTGTGAGTTTTTTCGCTAAATGTTCAAATTTTCCCAAAAATATAGTACTATTTTGCTACTAAACGGCATATATAATTTTGATTCTTTGTTTAATTAAGTCAAAGTAACTTCCACGTGACATTCTTCCGATATATAAACATAAACACTTGAACTTAAGCTTCTTATTAACACTGATAGAACATTTTTTCTCTGTAAAACACTAGGGGTTCGTAGATTGTTTGAAATTCTTTAAAAAGTCCAAGGATCCCCAAGATTCTTGTAAGCCCAAGAATTTTTCGTATTGGTTCAAAATTAGAGCACCACATGATCTCCAAGTTCCTTCAAATTCTTTCATCTTATTTCAAAACGTCACTAGGATCTTCACCATTTTTTAAGTATTCACTATAGACGTTTGTGGTCTTCTTCATAGGACGTAGTAGTAGTACCTGATCGTTCTTCTCCCCTTTCCAGAACTCAACCACGCCACCATCAACAAACTCCTCACCGCCCTCAACGAGTGCACCGAATGGGGCCAGGTCTTCATCCTCGACTCCCTCTCCAACTACAACCCCAAGGACGAGCGCGAGGCCCAGAGCATCTGCGAGCGCATCACCCCCCGCCTCGCCCACGCCAACGCCGCCGTCGTCCTCTCGGCCGTCAAAGTCCTCATGAAGATGATGGAGATCCTCGCCGGCGACACCGAGTTCTGCGGCACCCTCAGCAAGAAACTCGCCCCGCCCCTCGTCACCCTCCTCTCCTCCGAGCCCGAGGTCCAGTACGTGGCCCTGCGCAACATCAACCTCATCGTCCAGAAGAAGCCCGACATCCTCAAGCACGAAATGAAGGTGTTCTTCGTCAAGTACAACGACCCGATCTACGTCAAACTCGAGAAGCTGGACATCATGATCCGGCTGGCGTCGCAGGCCAACATCGCGCAGGTCCTCAGCGAGCTGAAGGAGTACGCGACGGAGGTGGACGTGGACTTCGTGCGCAAGGCGGTGCGGGCCATCGGGCGGTGCGCCATCAAGGTGGAGCCGTCGGCGGAGAGGTGCGTCTCGACGCTCCTGGATTTGATCCAGACGAAAGTGAACTACGTGGTGCAGGAGGCGATCGTGGTGATCAAGGACATATTCAGGAAGTATCCGAATAAGTATGAGAGTATTATTAGTACGCTGTGCGAGAATTTGGATACTTTGGATGAACCGGAGGCGAGGGCGAGCATGGTGTGGATTATAGGTGAGTGCTAGGGTTAGGTTGACGGCGGCGACCTCGGGCACCAGTTTTTGACGCGTTTTGTTCGTTTGGTAGGTGAATATGCTGAGCGCATTGATAACGCCGACGAGCTTCTGGATAGCTTCCTCGAGGGCTTCGCCGACGAGAATGCCCAAGTCCAGTTGCAGTTGCTGACCGCGGTCGTGAAGCTCTTCCTCAAGCGTCCGGCGCACACCCAGGCCTTGGTTCAGCACGTGTTGAGTTTGGCTACCCAGGACTCCGACAACCCCGATTTGCGCGACCGCGGGTTTATTTACTGGCGTCTGTTGAGTACTGACCCCGCAGCCGCCAAGGAGGTGGTGCTCGCCGACAAGCCTCTCATTTCCGAGGAGACCGACCTCCTGGAGCCTACGCTCCTCGACGAGCTGATCTGCCACATCTCGTCTTTGGCTAGCGTCTACCATAAACCGCCTACCGCCTTCGTGGAGGGTAGGAGTGCCGGGATTAGGAAGACGTTGCCGGCGAGGCAGGGCTCAGTCGAGGAGACCAACGCCCAGGAGGCTACGGTGATCCCCAATCAGGAGTCCCTGATCGGGGATTTGTTGTCGATGGACATTGGGAGCACGGTGACGCAGGCTGCGCCTGCGGCGCCGCCAACCAGCAATGTGGATCTACTCGGAGGCGGACTAGATGTTCTGGTGGGTGTGGTTTACCAAGTCACCAAGTGGGGGTTATAAACGTGTTCGGTTTCAGTTGGGTGGGGCGTCGGATTTGTCCAGTGGGGGCGTGGCTCCGTCCACCACCGGCCTTCTAGGAGACATATTCGGGTTGTCGTCGTCGCCCACAATGTACACGCCCCCGAAAACCTGTTGGCTACCAGCTGAGAAGGGGAAAGGGTTAGAGATCATGGGGACATTCGCGAGGAGGAACGGACAAATGACAATGGACTTAAGCTTTACGAATAAAGCTATGCAGGTAACAAGGTGGGTACTAATAATAATAATGATAGTAATAATAATCGTAGGCTATGAGCGGCTTCGCCATCCAGTTCAACAAGAACAGCTTCGGGATTGCCCCCGCCGCTCCGCTCAACCTCGGGGCTCTCCAGCCAGGCCAGACGCTCGAGTACAACCTCCCCCTGAGTACTAACGGCCCTGTCCAGCGTATGGAGCCCCTGACGACTTTACAAGTGGCCGTGAAGAACAACGTAGACGTGTTCTACTACGCTTGCCAGATGCACATTCAAGTGTTGTTTGTCGAAGACGGCACTCTAGATAAACGCGTCTTCTTGACTACCTGGCGCGATATACCCTCGGCTAACGAGGTGCAATATACGCTTAGCGACCTCAAGGGTAACGCTGATGCCATTTCGGCGAAAATGACACACAACAACATCTTCACGATAGCCAAACGAAACGTTGAGGGGCAAGATATGTTGTACCAGTCGCTCAAATTGACGAACAACATTTGGGTCCTGTTGGAGTTGAAGCTGCAGCCAGGAGTAAACCACGCGACTTTGAGCCTAAAGTCAAGGTCGGTGGAGGTGGCTCCCTACGTTTTCCAAGCGTACGACGCAGTAGTTAAGAACGTTTAGACGAGTAGATAGAGCATTCCATGTTTTGTGTTATTTTATTATAGGAGTTATGTATGGAAATTATTAAAATGAGCTAATGTATTAGTAAAATTTATTAATAAAGATGATACAACTTAAGTCAAGTTGCTTAATTTACAAAAACACATTCGAAGCCTCTTTTAAAACGTCGAACACTCGTTGCAGCCTCTCGGGCTCCTCAAGCAACTTGATGTTCAAATTCAAAACTAACCCACTCTCGTTATGAATAAAGTACACCCCTTTATCCCTACAATAGTGGTGTACCTGACCCTCCAAGTCAACCGATTCGCACCTAATTAATTTAAACGGGGCTTCAGGATCACTCACCACGTCAAACCCACACTCCTGGAGAAACTGATGAACCGACTGCGCCAATTTCGCGAACCGTTTCGGTTTATCCCCGATCAACTCGATACCTTTGAGTACCGCCTTCACCAAAAACGACGGAAGCGAAGCCGAAAATAGAAACCCTTTGCTAGACAAACGCAGACGCTCAATCGTGGTATAGTCGGGACCGGTTGCGAAACCCCCAACCGAACCCACCGCTCCTTCGAACGTCGCTATAACCATATCAACTCTATTTGGATCAAGATTGTAGTGCTCGATCACCCCGCGCCCGTTTGCACCCAAAACCCCCAAAGAGTGACTCTCATCTAGAAAAATCCGCATATGGAACTCCTCAGCGACTTCTAGAAACTCCGGAAGACGACACACTTTACCAGTAGTCCACGAAATCCCCTCCACAATCAGATACTTTTTCGATTTGTTCCCGTTTTTCGCCGCTTTCTTCCTCAAGTCGTTCGGGTCGTTGTGACCAAACCTGACGACTGTGCTCCTGGATGTAATCAAACCTTGTTCTATGGCCGCGTTTGCGCGCTCGTCGGCAAAAATGAAGTCTTCTTCCTTGCAGAAGGCGGCGATGGAGCTGGAGATTGCGACCAGACCGTAGGAGTAGGTCAAAGCTGTGTTCGACCCCATCTGGAGAAACTCGCTCAAGCTTTGCTCTAGTTTCAAGTGGAGGTCGGTTGTTCCTAAAACGACTTTTGAATTCTGGAAACTAGAAGGAACTGTTTACCGTAAAAAACTGGGGGACCACACGTGCCCACACCATACTCCCTGATGACGTCTTCACAGGCTTTTTTGATTTCGTCGTTGTTTAGAAAATTTAAGTAGTTTACTTTGGTGAGGTCGATTGTGGTGGCGTCTTCTTGGACGGTGTGTGTTTCTGAAGGGGGTGTGGCTTCGACAGGGACTAACGGTTCAGGGGTGAAGTTTTTGAGGCGTTCTTCGAAGAGTGCCGTGTCGAACATTCTAGAAGTTCAGGTAGATTTTGACGTACTTGTCGCAGTTAAACTGTAAATTATAATAGTGGGATAGATTAGATAAAGGTAATGGTACTGGACGAGCAACTATTTTTGTAATAATTTACACGTGTTGTATAATTTATCATATATTTAAATACGCGAAAAAATGAAGGTGCAGTTTTGACAAAAAACGTTATTTTTTAATGATTTGCAACTAATTAGGTCATATAAAAATTATTCGTTATGTTAAGCAGGGACTGACTTACCTTCAGGAATTCACTTTCTATTCACGTTTATTTTTTTATGGAACGTCACTTTAATAATTATTGACGTGTTGCTATAACACCGTTCGCAAATGTACATCTTAAAGTAGCATTTTTGTTTCTGTCTGTCTATCTGATTATACAGAGCGATCGAAAAAGAAATTAGTCAAAGTTGGTTAAAGACGAAAAGCCGGTGATTTTGATTCATTTGATGTGTTTTTAAAAGTAGGCGTCATAATTTTAATTTTAAACTGTCAATTTGACATTTAATAAAAAATTTAAATTACGACAAACGGCTTGTCGTGCATGACCAACTTTGACTAAATTCTTTTTCGATCTCGCGGTATCTTTAGCTCAATACATCTATGGAATTACGTTGTAGGTAGGTTGCAGAATAAAGTGTAAATTGTTTTTCATCCCCCCTAAAAATCCGGTGACGTCATTTTAATTTTTGCTGAGTAAATGGAGAACGTATATGGGTGTCACTATATATATCAAATTGACATATCTGTCCCTCAAAAAAAAAAAAAGTAAAAATAAATCTTCACAAAAAACCCCTAAAAACGTATTTTTTACAGTGCTCATAGAACAGATTTCTAGACCTATTGAAAAGTTTAGAAATATAATAATAATAATAATAAAATATTTATTTATGCATACTCAATACAAATTTACGATTTAAGTTTAATTTTAATAAGTGCATGCCGAATTGTGATAACCCAAACATCCCGCCTTAAATTGACATGTGAGAAAAAATTGAAAACCCGCGAAAAATTCAAAATTTGCGCTTACTTGTGATCGTCTAACAAAATGGAACCTTACGTTGTGTTTTTGAAAAATGGCGGCATGTGTTCAGATGCAAAAGGTGGATCCCAAGGTTGGAAAAGTACCACTAAATAAAACACACAATTTATGGAGGACATACAATTATTTATTCCTTCACTGGCAAAAAAAAAAAGAAAAAAAAAGCTGCAACTAAGTTGCGCAGGTTTAAGACCTTCTTAGTGCTCAGCTTAAAAAAAAAACTGAATGAATTTTAAATGAAATCAAATTAAACGTCCTGAATCAATGCAAATATTTGAATGTCACAAATTTAATAAGAACAAAACAAAATCTAAAGTAAAGTAACTGGATGCAAATACACAAACTATGCAGCGGCTATGTCAATTTCATTCTAGAGCGTAACAAAATACCTATAGGGGGCGTTGTAGCACGAGCGGAATTTGGGGCTCCCGGTTGTGGCTGTTTTCCTACCCACGACGGTGATTCTATCTATCGCAAGCACTGTCGCCCAGCACCCCAAGAGTGCCAAGTCGACAACGTTACGTCATCTCTATCGCCCCTAAATTCTATTCTGACCTGCATTTTTGTGCAGCTCGACTAGGAACCGTGCACTCCGCTTCCACCACGTGTTTCTGTGTTATTTAACCTCAATTCCATTTATATGTTCAATTCTTATAATTCTGATATTAACTACAACTGAACAAGTGACAAACCTTCAAAAAGAGCAATAAACAACATTTAAATTCGCCATACAATCTTGTGAAATTTTAAACAACAAATAATTCTTATTTGAGATTAAGATTGGACATCAGATAATTTATATGACGGAAATATTCATCAACAGAATATTTACAAAAAAAAACTAGCAAAGATTTATAAAAACAAAGGATCTGGTGTGAAATAAACTTGTGCAAATAAAATATTAGGTGAGGTTAAAACTGCAGAGCATGGAAATTTACGTTCAATTTAAATTATACAACAAGGAAAATTACTGAGGTTAAAATTGTGAGATAGAGGCGAAAATTGCAAAGCTAACAAATTTACATGAGATTCAAACAAAGAGTTTACATTATGTTCAATTATGCCATACTTTATCAACGATTCAAACAAAGAATTTATATGATGTTACATTATGCCATGATCCAAGTGATTAGTTACTTAAAACAATTCGTTAATTTGTTTTTGTATTTTTTTTTTGCTGCACTTTTCTACGGGCTTTTTCTACGGTGGTGCAACGTTAGGTTAATTTAACTGCCGTAAATGAACTATTAGCAATCTTGTGTGAAGAATTAAAAAGTGTTATAATGTAACACTTAAGTATTAGCATCCAGAAACCTCATTCATAATTAGATAAACAAAATCAAACGAGTCCTGACTAAGTGAATTCACATGAAAACTCCTTTAAGTGTTTATCTAAACAAATTCCTAATGTTAGATAGTGTTAGAACTAGTTAACGATTAAACGCCGAACATGAACTGTGAATTACACGGGTTGGCGTCGGTCGAAAATTCACAATTTTTCCGATTAGAAAGCAGCATGAATTAGCCGCGCGTGTTAGGAAAAACTGTGGCGTCGTCGTCGTTACTTTTATTAACTACCAAGCCAAGTAAACTAACCAAGCTAACTCACCACGTTGTTACACTAACAACAAACACACCAAAAGTGACGCTTTCACTTCCCTCTACCAAGCAGCCATGTTTTTCCCTACCAACCCCATAACTAAAATCCCCAGCAGGACTACGAACTATCCAAAAAGCGTTAACGTGCACATGGTTGCCTGTGTTTAACGATTTTTTTGATTGCATTTTTTTTATTCAAATTATTTAAATGTGATTTCGCGCCGCTGTTAATTTTCTTTCAGCCCGAAGTTCTGATTCAAATGCAGTCACCACAGAATTTAGGAAAGTATATTTTTAAAGAGGGTTTTAATAGTTTACAATAAAAATCAAGTTTCTACTAATAACAACCTTATGTTCGAACAAGAAAAAAATAAAACAAATTTTGAGATTTTTAAAAGTTGGTTTATATGGATATTTGGGACATATTTTTTCTTTATTTTTGCAATTGGGCAATAAATCTTTATTTATGTAGTTTATTTAAATATTCACTTACGCAAATTGTTGTTCTGGGTACTAAATTATGTAAAAAAGATATATCAGAGAAGTAGATTTCTGTGTTCAATAAAAAGCAATGCAAATTTGGACCCATTTTCGACAATTTTCGAAATTTAACCAAAGAGTCTTATTGATTTCAGCACGCAAAGGTTATTTTCGGCCTCATTTCTTTGATAACTCCAATCGTTTTTCCAGAATCGCCCATTGAAATATAGCCCCTCCCACCCACCCACTCTTTTCTTCGTGGCTATGCCATTTGCCAAAATCAGTTTTATCTTAGCAGCTACTAGATAGGATAAGACTGATTTTGGCAAATCACATACCCTCTAAGAAAAAAGAGGGTGGGTGGGCGGGGCTACTACCTGGTAAAATAAGAGCGATTTTGATAAATGACATACTTTTTAAAAAAAGAGAAAATGGGCAGGGCTAGTTCCTCCTAAGATAAGAGTGATTTTGGCAAATGAGGTACTAAGAAAAGAGAAGGCGGGTGGGCGGAGCTAGTACCTGCTAAAATTAGTTTTATCTTAGCAGCCATTGGCCCCAACCACCCACTCACCCTCTCTTTTCTTACAAGGTATTTCATTTGCCAAAATCGGTCTTATCATATCAGGTACTAGCCCCGCCCACCCACCCTCTCGTTTCTTAGAGGCTATGTCATTTGCCAAAATCAGTTTTATATTAGCAGGTACTAGATAGGATAAGACTGATTTTGGCAAATGACATACCCTCTAAGAAAAGAGAGAGTGGGTGGGCGGGGCTAGTGCCTGCTAAAATAAGAGCGATTTTTATAAATGACATACGTTCTAAAAAAAAAGAAGGTGGGCAGGGCTAGTTCCTCCTAAGATAAGAGTGATTTTGCCAAATGAGGTACCCTCTAAGAAAACAGAGGGCGGGTGGGTGGTGCTAGTACGTGCTAAAATCAGTTTTATCTTAGCAGCCACTAGCCCCACCCACCCACCCTCTCTTTTCTTACAAGGTATTTCATTTGCCAAAATCGGTCTTATCATATCAGGTACTAGCCCCGCCCACCCACCCTCTCGTTTCTTAGAGGCTATGTCATTTGCCAAAATCAGTTTTATATTAGCAGGTACTAGATAGGATAAGACTAATTTTGGCAAATGACATACCCTCTAAGAAAAAAGAGGGTGGGTGGGCGGGGCTACTACCTGGTAAAATAAGAGCGATTTTGATAAATGACATGCCTTTTAAAAAAAGAGAAAATGGGCAGCGCTAGTTCCTCCTAAGATAAGAGTGATTTTGGCAAAGGAGGTACTAAGAAAAGAGAGGGCGGGTGGGCGGGGCTAGTACGTGCTAAAATCAGTTTTATCTTAGCAGCCACTAGCCCCACCCACCCACCCTCTATTTTCTTACAAGGTATTTCATTTGCCAAAATCGGTCTTATCATATCAGGTACTAGCCCCGCCCACCAACCCTCTCTTTTCTTGGAGGATATGTCATTTGCCAAAATCAGTTTTATCTTAGCAGCTACTAGATAGGATAGGACTGATTTTGGCAAATCACATACCCTCTAAGAAAAGAGAGGGTGGGTGGGCGGGGCTAATACCTGTTAAAATAAGAACGATTTTTATAAATAACATGCTTTCTCAATAAAGAGAAGATGGGCAGGGCTAGTTCCTCCTAACATAAGAGTGATTATGGCAAATGAAATACTCTCTAAGAAAAGAGAGAGCGGGTGGGCGGGGCTAGTACCTGCCAAAATCAGTTTTAACTTAGCAGCTACTAGCCCCGCCCACCCACCCGCCCTCTCTTTTCTTACAAGGTATCTCATTTGCCAAAATCGGTCTTATCCTAACAGGTACTAGCCCCGCCAACCCACCCACTTCTTTCTTAGAGGGTATATCATTTGGCAAAATGAGTTTTATCTTAGCAGCTACTAGATAGGATAGGACTGATTTTGGCAAATCACATACCTTCTAAGAAAAGAGAGGGTGGGTGGGCGGGGCTAGTACTTTCTAAAATAAGAACGATTTTGATAAATAACATAGTTTCTAGAAAAAGAGAAGGTGGGCAGGGCTAGTTCCTCCTAAGATAAGAGTGATTTTGGCAAATGAGATATCCTCTAAGAAAAGAGAGGGCGGGTGGGCGGGGCTAGTACCTGATAAAATCAGTTTTATCTTAGCCGCAACTAGCCCCATCCACCCACCCACACTCTCTTTTCTTAGAAGGTATCCCATTTGCCAAAATCGGTCTTATCCTAACAGGTAT